TATAAAATGCCATATTTATAGACTCAACAGATATAAAATTTTATATCAAACTAGATCTTCAAATTCAATTATTCATTCTTAAATTTTAATACCTGAAATTAGTTAATTAAAGTTTAACTCTCATCAATGATTTTAAAAATATTCTTATCCTCCATAATTCCCCATGTTCAAATATATATATATATATATAATTTCATATTTACCACTATGGAAATGGTATTTATGTTTACCCCCCTCGTCACTCGATCTAATAAAGTACCAAAAAAAAGAGTTTTGTGTGCCAAGTCAGCGGTTAATGATGCCACATCAGCAATTTCTAATGCTGTTAGTGTTCTGTCAATGTTGCCATTAAACGGAGGTTAACGATGCTCCAAAAAAAGAACAAAAACAAAAGCAAAAACAAAACGGAGGTTAACGGATAGACGATTATTGGCCTATTTTACAAAGTTAAGGGATTTCAATAAATATTTTTACAGTACAGGAACGATAATGAAACTTTTTGAGAAGTTTAAGGATTTTATTGGCTTAAAAAATTTTTTCCTTCCATTTTCTTTTTACCGCTCGTTGCTAATTGTTAAACCCTAGAATTTTTCGCGGCAAACAAACAGACGATAACGGCAGGCACGTATCTCTGTGCGCGACAACACGATGATATACATTGATTCTGATTTCCAGGTGACAATTCGATCTGCAAAATTTCTGTTTTTGGTTTTGTGTTTGAGAATTTCCACCCAGAAATGTAGCTTCTTTGATGCCTCTGTATTTAGGACACTTATATTATCTGTCATACGAGAGAAAATGGATCCTTCATGGAGTCTATTCATAATGAATTCTTTAAATTAATCTAGAATTTTTTGACGTTATTGCTGAAAGTTAGCTTTTTTAATAACTTGAAGATGCAGGAAAAAATTGAATTTAAGACGATTTCTGGTAAATTGTTATGATGGATTCCACAACAGAATGTCTGTAAGGAACTAAGGATCACAATGTAGCAAACGAATCTTATTAGTGTTAGTGTAGACATTAAGTAAATTTAAGAAGCAATTTCCTTAAGTCATTTTGTCTTGCTAATTTGTTTTTGTTATGGTCAAATCCAATAGTATAGACATAAGTAAGTTTACAATGTACATAATGAATTTTTAGGTTTTCAAAGAAATTGTTAATGTGATATTAATGGAATCAAAAAAGTGTTTTTCAGGTTGACCTGCAAGAAAAAAAAGAAGAAGCAAGAATGCCTGTGAAATTATTAAATACCCTTAATGAATCCTCCGTGTGTGTTGATTCATTAACGGTATTTAATT